GGTACAGGCCAGAGGCTCAGGGGCGGTGAGAGGCTTCACCAGAGACAGAGTGGGGAACAGAACAGGCAGATCGACGAAGTACACTGCTGAGGGGAACAGCGGGAGGGTCAGGAGAGGTCTGCCGGGCCATGTGGGTCACCTCGGGGGCGGGGATCAAACTCTCACTGAAGTAGCTGTGGCCAGCTTGCAGTGCTGCGGCCTAACCCACCCAACTGCATTGTTGCCCCACCAGGGAGGGACCAGGAGTATGTGGAATTTTCTGTGTGTCGGTGTTTTTTTTTTTCAGTGAGCCTTTGTTACCATGATTAGAACCCCGTCATCTAGTGATATGTGATATGTAGCGCCTAAGATACCTCATTTAAAAATGTTTTTCAATACGAAGTTAGAACCACAAAGATAAAGTTAATGTGGCTTCTCGAGGAAGCAGGTGTGAGAAATCTGGTTTGCCTCTTTCCAACAAATGAGGCTTCTTTCCCATCTGGGCTTGACTACATCAGCCCTACATAAACATTTAACCTTTAACCAGCAGATAGTCTTTGTTGAGAATTAGCTCTGGGTGATTCTCGGAATTATCCTCCAGCTCCACCTCATTTCACTAAGTCAGAATTCCAAATAGTGAGACCTAGCCATCAGAATCCTTACCAGATCTTCCACTCCACTCAGATTATTTCAGCAGTTCTGCTGAGAAGCTGTTAATGGGTGAGCTCTTTGATAATGGCTACACCTTAGAACAGGAGATCTGAGTTGAAGTTAATCAAAGGCCAGGCTTTTCATTGTCAAGACTTTGACTAGTCAGGCTGAAGCTGATTAGGGCAGAGTTTAATGAGATCCAGGTGTGCCCCATTGGGCCAATTATTTGACTTATCCCTTGACCACGGGTCTCTACTGGCATTTTCCTAACAGGGACGTGATAAGGAGGTTTTCCTTATCATGTGGTTTTTCCACATTCGTGGCTCAGCCATTTACAAGCTTCAAGTGGAGCTTAAAGAAGCTGTCCCTGTCCTTCCTTAGTTGCATGGTGGTGACAACGGTTGGGAAGAACGAATGAGCTAGTGTGAGGTGCGCTAAGCACTGCCCTGTGGTGGTGATCACCGATGAGCGACGTTAGCAGAAACAAGCCCAGGTAGAGCAGTGGCCTGAGCAGCTGGAGCGGCGGCTGTGAGCCCCAAGGAGAGTAGGACTCACTGGCTTTAGGAAAGTGAGTCTGAGACTTGACGTCATGAGCTTTCATGCAGCTGTTTAAGCAAGAGGGAAAAGCACTAACATTTACTCTTAACAGTTTCCTCGTTCATTTTTTGGATCTCTTGAATCAGAGTGGCTGTCTCTTTCCTGCTTTCATTTTTGCTCAGTCATGGTGTCTGGAAGTTCATTTATTTACCTCTGAATTCCTAGTAACCTGCTCTCTGAATGCTTCCTTTTGGCAAGACCCAAATTCCTCTTAACTACTTGGCTTGATCTTCTTTATAAAATTTCCTTCCCTTCTACTTTCCTATTTATAATTTAGGCTCATTCTAGCTTAAAGGTTTGGGCTTCTCTGTCACTTAGTTGTGTCTTCACCTGTTAGCACAACCTCTGTGATGGAGATTTGCTATTTATTCTAGCAAATGGCTGTTCCCAGAATTCTAATTTTAAAAAGTCTGTTTCTGTTTGTTTGTTGTTCAGAAGTGGACATCTTCTCTTGTCAAGTGTCAGACACAATTGTAAGAAAATTGAAGGCAATGTATGGGTGGGTGTATGCCCTCACCTGTGTGGTTACATGGGTGCAACGTATGAGCATGTGTGAGCGTTCTCAGATCTTATGAGCCTAGTATATGGGCAAAGTACATTAACAGTTGATTCATGAGCGTAAATAAAACTTAACCAGGGAAAAGGTCTCTTTTACAAGCAGGTAAAGAAATGTGGACTAAACAAAACTTTTTAAACATCTCAAATCAGAAAACTTTAAACAAATACATTACTAAATGTCTGTGTCTTGATATTTGCTGATGGGAGAGGCTCCCCATTACCCCAAACCTATGCTGTCTTGACACGCCTCTTCCTCTTTCCCCACCAAGTTATTTCCTTTTAGGGGTTCTAAGAAAATGTTTTAAATTTTGATTGACTTGAAGATAGTGACCAAAGCTTTATTTAAGATCTCAAACTTGGAAGCAACTTAACTACCCACAATGAGATAAGTCCAGCTATAGTAGAAACCTTTATTGTTTGGCCATAAAAAGGTCACTGAAATCTCTATAGATATTTATATAAAACAGAGGGAATGTTTATATCGAACTTTTTTTGGGGGGGGGACCATCATAATCCTATAAACCAAGCCATATATATTTGGGGGGGACACTCATAAGTCTATAAAACTATACAAAGAAACTCTGAGAGTTAATCTCAGTGTTAACAATGGTGTTTATGTGATAAGATTAATAATGACTCATATTTTGATTTGTTTTTATATTTTTATGAGCATAGATATCTTTTAGTACAGGGAAACCCAATCCACAAGAGCCCAATACTAGCTGTTGTGTTTGCTGTGGACAGTTACGTGTTCATGTCACGTGGGCTAGTTCCTATCCATGGCTTTTCTCAGAATGCCTGTTATCATGAAGCCCTTGCATTTCCTTAATATTTCAAGGGTAATTTATAAGACTGACTCTCTTTTGAGAACTTAGACTTGCTGACTTTGAATTTCTTTAGTATGTGAAAAGACACATATTCTTACTAGATTTATCCTTTATGTCTTATCTCTTCCTAATCTCCTTTTATCTACTCTGGTCCAAAAGAGTTGCAGCTGGAACTGATTTTCTTTTATATTTTCAGACAATGGACCTTGCTTGGGATATAGAAAACCAAACCAGCCCTACAGATGGCTATCCTACAAACAGGTAAGTCAGGCCCATTGTATTGGATAGATTCTTTTGCTAATGTGATTTCCTGAGCTAATTTGGCCTCCTTTCGATATTGGCTACTTTTTAAAAGTTCTCTCTTTTATAGGTGTCCGATCGAGCAGAATACCTGGGCTCTTGTCTCTTGCATAAAGGATATAAATCATCACCAGACCAGAATGTTGGCATCTTTGCTCAGAATAGACCAGAGGTAACCATGTTGAAGTTAACTCAAAGAAATGAATCAGGGCTAAGTGTAAAGATTGTGAGCCCTACCCCAAATTCAGCTCTCCGATGCTTGCTGATGACTCACCAAAATTACCTAAAGATGAATCATCCTTTGAGTATTCATCTGCTGTAGAAAGTAACAGCTTGGGGCATCATTAATTCCTTGGTGAATGTCTAGCTCTCTACTTTAGGTAACTGGACTTCTCTAACCTTCCAGTTGATGGTGGGACATTTTACTTCAGTCTATTGTAGGAAAATAAGGAAGTAAGGAGTGCCTGGCAAATGAAAGCTTGAGGTTGTCATAGGGAAGGTTGTATTTGCATTAGAATTGGAATTTACTCATTTGGCTTGAGCTAGTAGACCAAGCACTTACTGCTGCTAAGACAGGCCATAGTCATCCTTCTACAGCAAATTGAAAGTAGATTTTAGACATTAAAATGAGTCTAATTTAGTTCATCTCCAAGTTCAAGTTAAGTCATCAGACCATTTGATCTCAGAGAGAGTTTTACATGCTTCAAACAGCTGGATGACATATGTTCACCAAAGCCAGTTGCTTTACTGAAAATCTGAGCAGGCATTGTTATACTTTTAGGATAATATATATATTCCATTTCTGTTACACTGGTCTCCAAAAGAGATAGCTTTAAATGTGGTTTAGAAACTCAGCATCAAACCTCGCATATTCATTTGTTATGGCTACCATAACAATAAACAGCACAAACTAGGGGAATTAAACCCTGGACTTTAATTCTCTGATAGTTCCAGAGGCTGGAAGGCCAAGGTCAAGGTGTTGGCAGGGTTGGTTTCCAGTGAGGTCTCTTTTCTTGGCTGCACATAGCTGCCTGTCACTGTGTCTTCACATGACCTTCTCCCTGACAGCCATCACATTTCTTCCTCCTCTGATGAAGAAACACTAGTCATTGCCAGAGGAGTCCTCACTTAGCCTAATCACCTCCTTAAAGGTCTTGTCTCCAAAACCAGTCAACTTAGGGATTAGAGCTTCAACACAAATACATGAATTAGGGAGACACGTGATTCAGTCCATGACACCCAGATGACATGGAGGACCTACCACTAGCAGATTCTGGGCCACCTTTCCAATTCACTTACTTTCTCTCTTCATGCTTCCTGCTCTCTACACATACTGATGTCATGCTAACCTCACTTCATTCATTTCCTTCTTCCTGAATGTTTCAAAGCACTGCTCAGTTGCTATGGTTTTCCCCAGGCAGTCCCAGATGGCCTTTAGCCAAACCTTAAAAGTGATTTTTGCCTCCTGAAAGCTCCTTAATCATTCCATAGTGATTATGGCTCACGGATGGATAGGATTTATCAGACTACCCCATTGAGGTAGTCTCTGCCCCTCTCTTATCTCATTTTTTTATGGCACCAGCACTAGGCAGTCCCTAGGTACTCACAGTGATTCTTTCTTTTTTAAAAAGATTTATTTATTTACGCATACAGAACTGGGGTAAAGGCCAGAGGTGCAGGGGTGGTGAGAGGATTGCCCAGAGACAGAGTGGGGAGCAGAACAGGCAGATCAATGAAGTACTCTGTTGAGGAGAGCAGTGGGCAAGACAGGAGAGGTCTGCTGCACCATGTGGATAACTTCTGGAATTGGGGATCAAACTCGCACTGAAGTGGCTGCAGCTAGCTGGCAGTGCTGCGTCCTAACCCATTGTGCCACCAGGGAGGGCCCATAGTGATTATTTCTGAATGCAAAGGTCCCCAGTAAGCATTTGTTGGCTGAATGACTGCATCAATACTGTGCTTTTTCAAAGTATCCTCTAGTCCTTAATTGAACTTCTCTCCAAACAGTGGATCATCTCTGAATTGGCTTGTTACACATACTCCATGGTGGCTGTCCCCCTGTATGACACTCTGGGAGCAGAAGCCATTGTATACATTGTCAACAAAGGTAAAACTTTGCTATTACATTATAACTTGATTCTTAATGGTGAGTAATTTCTATATCTTCTTTTATTATTATTATTAGTAGTAGTAGTAGTAGACTTGGAAACCAGTGACCTGAAAGATGCTAAAAGTCCCTCTTGTCCTATATTTTTTAGAACATAAGTTAGCAGACCCCCCATACACCCCCCACCCCCCATCCCCACCACAAGCAGGTATATGACAGAAGAAGGTTCAATGAAAGGCTTGGTGGTGACAGTGTGGCAACATCATTTAGAGTTAAAGCTATTTACTTTAAGTTGGTCAAACTTAAAGTCAAAAGTCTATAGAATAGGTTTAAATCACTTGTTTGACTAAATCAGAGTGAAGCTGCTAGTTTAATTTCCTATTATTATAAATCCAAGTCAGTACCATGCACCAGCCTATTGTCAATGTCCATGGTGAGTCTTTAGGGAAAAAATGACCTTGTTAGAGAACAAGCCCGTGTTCAAAGGTCAAGGAATCACAAGTACAAGATACTTCATACCACCAAACTTGTCAGCAAAGTGAACAGACTTTTGAACTATAGACAGAAGTTTTGTATTTGTGCCAACAAGTGTCAAAGCAAATAATGAATCACCAATGTTTTGTTAAAATCCTTCTTGCCCTTCTGCTCTCTAGTCCCCTCTACAAAAGCAAATACACTGACAGGACACACCTTGGAAGTCCAATGTCTGCATTCTTTTTCTTTCTTCCTTTTTTAAATCCAGGCAAAATCCCAAAGTCTTCACCATGATCTGCGTGGCCCTGTCCTCAAGCAGAAGGAATTTAATAGCTTTTTCTAGAAACAAGCTGTCACAATATACACAAAAATGATGTGCGATTTCAACAAACTTGTCAATGGAATGTTTCAGGTTTATACACTATAAATCTGAATTGCAGATAAAAATCTCCTTTGGGGGCCCAGTAATCTTTGAAATTTTGCACTTCTCTTCCTCCTTGCAAAGCAGTCAGGTGAAGAGTAGAGCACAACAGTGACCTCTGTCTCTATTTCTGCTTTCAGCTGATATCAACACAGTGATCTGCGATACACCCCAAAAGGCACTGGTCCTGCTTGAGAATGTGGAAAAGGGCCTCACCAAAGGCCTGAAGATGATCATCCTCATGGATCCTTTTGATGATGATCTCAAGCAAAGAGGGGAGACAAGTGGAGTTGAGATCTTATCCCTGTTTGATGCTGAGGTATCCGTCTGAAACTCAGCTCCCCCTGGTGCTGTGCAAATTACAGGCCATGTACACAAGAGTGAAGCTGGTGGTTCTCCAGGGGTAGCAGGAAAAGAGTGAATTAGACCCATGCTGGGTACCTTTGAGAATAATTCCCCCAAGATGACTCAAACCTATGCCAAGGGAGGAGAATGACCTGTCACCAGTGAGCAAACTTGTAAGCCATAGTTGATCAGTTCAGAGCTTAGTAGTAGCTGTGCATTTAGCTACCTGATCCAGATCTATTAGTTGACTTTGGGCAAGCAACTTAAGATCTCCCTTTCCCTAGTTATAAATTGAGGATAGTATAGTCCCTATTTTCTAGACCTTAGAGAGGAGTTGTAAAGAAGTCAATGAATTAATACATGAGAAGTGTTCAGGTATGTAGTAAGCCCTGAAATTTCAAGAATTCGTAGCATATCATTTGGCAGTGGTGTCCTAGAATAATGAACCTTAAGAGTATGCTGGGAAATTTTGACATTTGGGGTCTGTGCTCTTTCGTGGTTCCTCAGACCTTATGCTCTTTTCTGGGTGGCTTCCATTGTGCCTGAATGTTTATTGTTAAGCCAGATCCAGTTGGAATTGTGGTTATATTCCCACCAAGATAGTCTCAAGGAAAAGGGGAAAGCGAGGATTGTCATCAGCCTATCCAGCTCAACTAATACTTCCTTGTGTTTTTAATTTTTCTCCCTGCATATAGAACATAGGCAAAGAGAACTTCAGAAAACCTGTGGTAAGTTTTATTCTGCCCCAAATGTAAGTCTGCCATGTTCAACTTTCAAAACTCCTGGTACATAAATAAGCCCTTGTGTTTCCCCCGCCAGCCTCCTAAACCAGAAGACCTGAGCATCATCTGCTTCACCAGTGGAACTACAGGTCAGTACTGTAAAGCTGTTCCAGAGCAATCTGGTCAGTCAAAAACACGGCTTTGACCACTGGTCAAATGAAAAATGTACTTGACAATGAGTCCTCTTGTTAGGAACTTAACTGAAGAACACATGAGTACAGATGGCCAAGGAGAAAACATAAGCAAAGCACATAAACCTCACTGAATGCACAGGCTACATTTACATGCTCTGGAATTTAGACCTCTTAAAGATAGCATCACAAAGTCAACTTTGTTCCCCAACCCACCATTCTCTCAATTTGACATGACTGGGATGGTTTCCTTCATTCACGATAGATAAGGTTCTGTGCAGATCATTGTGAACCAAGTACCCATTCCCAGCTGCCTGTTCGAACTCCTCAGACCTTTGATGCAGCCCATGGTGACCTGAAGTTAAACCCATTCTTTTGTGCCTAACTTATTAGGTGATAGCTAGGTGTCAACCCAAGTAAGTCTCAGTAATAGACGAAAAGTTTATTAGATAATCACAGTGAATAGTTGAATCAGGGAAACAGTCTGACAGATTTTACTCTGAGAATTGTCTCAATGATCAAGTTTTGAGTTTTGTTTATATAGGTAGAAACAGTGAGTCATTGAAGTTAAAAATATAATTATTTTGGTGGTGGGGGGAGTGTTGTCTTCTGGTTTTCTATAAGCTTAAGTCTTTCTACTTCCTAAATAATCTTCACCTAAAGGTATGTTGATGCTATCGATAGGCTGAAGGAGACAGATACTGAGATGTATGTAGTCACTACTCTGATTTCTAAAGAATGTATTTGGAGATGGAAAGGCTGGGTACCCATTGTTAAATCTTCTTTATCTGGCTCCTTTGTGATTAGAGGGGGTTGAAAGACTGGTTTGCCAGCAGACAATAAATTCCTGCATAGTCTACTTCACAAAACCAGGTGGAGCCTGTTCTGAGTTTGGGTTTATGCAGACAGCTTTGCTCTCCTGCCTAATAGTCAACAAGGTGGGTATCCTAGAACATTTACTGGATATTCACTGGATGTTCATCTCGGTAATACTATTGGGTCTGAAGCCTTAAATGTAAAAGTAGCAGAAATTGGGGAGGTTAATTGAACTTTTCTTTTCAACCATATTGCTGAGGTTGTTTCTGGACAAAGTTATCAGCAGTAGTGACTCTGGTAGGCATTTATTCATAAACAGCCACATATTATTCATAAAATGATGTACAGTGACAGGAGAAGTTCTTAGCTCTTTGGAACAAAAGCTATGTAGCCTATCAAAGCCAAAGTTTGCCCACTAGCTATCTAAAGGATCTTTCTCTCCACCTCTTGTCTTCCTACAGGTGACCCCAAAGGGGTCATGCTAACACATGAAAATATTGTTTCAAATGCTGCTGCTTTTCTCAAATGTGTGGAGGTCAGTGGTCAAGAGGTCCTTGTGAAAATGTGAATGTGTCGTAACATTTTAATCTTGAATTTGGGTGGGGAGGGGGAGAGAGAAAAGGTCTAAGACTTGAATATGGAGAAAGCTGGAAGACTGTGTGTTTTCAGCCTTTAACCTTGAAGGGTTCTTGCAGAACTCTGCACTCAGGGCTTTTAAGGGCATGCCGTAGAGTTATTCACAACTCTATGTGGTAGTCCTGGGGTGGGCTAGTGACATGAATCTAACATTGTTTCCTCTTTCTTCCCTGATCTGAAGTATTCTTTTGAGCCCACCCCTGAGGATGTGACCATATCCTACCTCCCTTTGGCTCATATGTTTGAGAGGATTGTACAGGTGAGTGTCCTTTATTCCTAGCAGGTATGCATATACAGAGGGAGTCCATACTGCTGATCCCACATTCATTCCAAAGACAGCTGAGCCACATTTCCAGTCCTTTCTCTAAAGTTGCAAGGTGATACACAGGGCGTTGAAACAGCTGAACCCCAATCCTGGCATCAGATTGCAGAACCTTTCTCTGCAGATTCTGTGTGTGGCCAGCTGGGTCATTACTGGTTCCCACCTCTGCACAGGGTGTCAGAGGTCAGAACCAGGAGCTTATTATCTACCTGTCATTCCAAGCTGGGAAAGTAGACATTATTTCTTCCTTTTTATTTTACTTTGGTTAGAATTTTTTAAAAAGATCTAGGCTTAGAGAAAAAGAATTCCCCAGAGCAGGGCAGAGAAGGGGCATTTGATTCAGGTGAGAGCATATAGGAGGAGCCAGTAGAGATTGGTTATGTGCTGGAGGGACCTTCTCTTTGCAAGTAGGCACCAGACATTTCATGTGATTCTGGGACTGATTTGGGAATTAAAAACCTGGGTTGGCCTTTCAAAAACACAGGCGATGAAATGGATGGAAAATTCTCTCTCCTCCATGCAACTACCTCTTCCACCAGCAGATCTGTTGATGCATGAAATGTCAGAACGAAAGATTTAGCTCCATGGACTGAAATGTTGATATGTAATTAATGAAATACTCATTCTAAGAGACGTAATTTTTGCACAGTTTAACATTTGAAATTGAGATGGTCTTACAATTGTGGGCATGCTTTAGTTTAAGTGGCTGTGTTTTTTCCTATTGCTCCAGAACAAATGGGCAAAGGATGTAGCTAGAGACTGGTGCCCAGAGCTGTGGGTGGAAGAGTGGCCTCTTGAACTGCAGGCCTCAACCACCCTAGTGAAAGGAGTTTCAATCCTGCCTTTGGGGGAGGCGTTCACTATTCTGTATCCCTAAAATATTGGGGGTGGGGGTGCTGTCCAGAGAAAAGTGCTATGGGCATGAACATAGATCCTCAATTCTGCCCAAGACAGGCCCAGCCTCCACCAGCCCTTTGGCTGAGTCCTGTGCTTTGGTCTTGCTTTTAGGCTGTTGTATACTCCAGCGGGGCCAGGGTTGGCTTCTTCCAAGGAGATATTCGGTTGCTGCCTGATGACATGAAGACACTGAAGCCCACGGTGTTTCCCTCAGTGCCTCGACTCCTCAACCGGGTCTATGATAAGGTACGAGAAGGCCTGAAGGCCCTGACTCAGGCTCTGTGGAACACTTATTTTGCTAAGATATTTGCTCCCCTTCCACCCTACTGCTTACAATCATCCACTTTCAGCCATGACTACAAAGGCAGCCCCGAGAAACTAAACGAATGAAACCCCTTTTCTTCTGGATAAGGTTTGGGGCCTGGGCAGGAGAATGTTTGATGCAGAGATCTAGGGAGCCTTTCCACATTCTGCTGACTTACTAGGAAGTTGCTCAGATTTCAACACAGCTTCTGGCTATTGAGCTTCATGCCAGGCCCCATGGTAAATATTCCATATACATGCCTTCATCTGGTTCTCTCCAAAGCACAGGAAGTCATGTCTAACTTATCCCTCCCAGATAAAGAGATAAGCTCAGAGGTTACATAACCTACAGTCAGTCAGTAAGAGACCAGCCAGAATCAAGCTGTCACATAATCATTTTGACACTATTAATCACTGATCTAATTTGATTTGTTTGTAAAATGTTGATTTTTCTGATTCAATCATTGTCCATGCATTGATTAACTGAGCTTCTTCAGAAAAGCATGAAAAATAAGTGATTTGAATCCTTAACTATTTAGAATAATGAATTGGTGTACGATTAGCCCTCAAAAATGGCCGGTGATGTTCATTTTCTTTGTAATATTATGACTTCATGACTTGCATATTTGTATGTTTCATACATATTATTCTTTTTGATGTTCAAACTCTCCCATCAAATTGTTCATATGTTCTTTGATAGCTTCCTTGATTTTTGGTACAAAATGTCCCAAGCTCATCTGACATGGTTCTCATTCACCTTACTTCACTAATTTCTCCAATAATTCGATAGAACTGGGATTTAATCCCAGGCAATATGAAAACAAAGCCCGGACTCTTCAACATGCATTTGTTCCATAGGCATGGAACCCTAAGGAAAAATCACATGATCATTCTTCACATGCTTTGGCTCCTATCCCTGAAATTCTAGATTTTTTTCTTCTCACTTGGGAATCTCACCAGATACTAACTTGAAGCTCCAGGAACAGAGCAGGCAGCATTCTACAAAACATATGATTCCTGAACATTGAAAGCCTTGATTCTAACAGAATTGTTAGCAATTCTGATAGTTTCTCACAAAGCTACAGAATTACTAGATTTGGTTGTTGTGGCTTTTGTTTTGTTATTTGGCAATTGTTTTTAAAGATTTATTTATTAATGCATACAAGAACTGAGGTACAGGCCAGAGGCGTGGAGATGAGAGGATCCACCAGTGACAGAGTGGGGTGCAGAATAGGCAGATCTACTGGAGTACACTGCTGAGGGGAGCAGCAGTGGGCAAGACAGGAGAGGTCTGCCGTGCCATGTGGTTCAGCTCCCTGGCCGGGGATCATTGAAATCATGGCACAGTGGCTGTGGGTAGCTTCGCAGTGCTGTGCTTTAACCCCTTGCACTAGCAGGGAGGGCCCAACAATTCTGATTTTTGAGAGAGAGTTATTTTAAACATGGGAAGTAGCTTGTGTGTTGAGGAGACTTGTCAGGAAGACATGATGCAGGCAGCATTTGAGTGTAAATCTTTGGAGAGATGATGAGATATTAATAAAATGATGGTATGGGCATGAGTAGACACCGAGAGCCTCGTTGTCTGGAGGCCCTAAAATGGAAATTTCCATTAAATATGAAAGATGGCTGGAAAATATCTTCAGTATTTAAACTGTAGAACTTTGATTTCCTTGCCTCTAATTTCCTATAGGAAGGTATCTTGAAGGCAAGACAGTGGAATTCAAGATTAATTTTATTAATAAGGGGGTTTTCTTTGAGGTATACTTGACAGCGCTCTCCTTTGGTAGAAGCAGAGTAAAAGGATCAGAGTTATGACGGGCCAGAGCTAAGGAGATGAGGGAAGTATTGTGGGCCAGGAAAATGGTGCCGTTCTTCCCACAGGGAAGAAATGACCTCAGTGGGAAAGTCAGTAGGTTTGAATAGTGTGGCTAAAGGAGCCTTAGTATAGAGAATGTGGCATTTCTACAAGCTTAGTGAATGTAAGGGACTCGGGGAGGGAGAGGTGGTATTTGTATAAAATCAGACTCTGGGTCTGTTTCTGCCCTGCTCAATCCAAAGCCTGACATACTCATTGAAACTGTTTCTTATTTAGTACTCCCAGATTTTGTTGGTAGATAATAGTCACCTTTTGAAGACAGCAGTTGCCTTCAAATTATCTCAGTTGTCAAAGTTGTTTGCCAAGACCTGGAACCCACAGGAGCTGGAGCTCTGGATGTGTCTGCAGTTCACATCTTTCAGTGTAGCCATAGTCTTTGGGTTCACTCTTATTCAGCACCCCAGTTCTGAGAGCCATTCTTTTAAGCTCCTTAAAGACACTATCTACTACTCACTGACTGTTTCCTCTAGGGCTCCAACTAAGAGAAACTATCTTGCAGGTACAAAATGAAGCCAAGACACCCCTCAAGAAGTTTATGTTGAACTTGGCTATTGCCTGTAAATTCAATGAAGTAAAAAGAGGCATCATCAGACGAGATACTATCTGGGACAAGTTGATCTTTCGCAAGGTCCAGGTAGGTTCACTGGGTTCTGTACAGGGCCAGGCAAATACCTGGGCCGATCTTTGACTCAGCACCTTGACTTTTCCTCAGATGCTGGAGTATCTCTTCAACTGGAGATGCTTTTGTGCTGTTTCCTCACCTTTTGAGATCTCCCTTGAAAAACCCTAAAGAGAATTGGTCAAAAAACAGAAAATGGGTTTTTCTTAGGTTCTAGGACTCTCTCATAGGTGGGCTCTTGAGCTTGTAAGTAATCTGAGGGGACTAAGAATGTAAAGGATCTTAAGTACTTTTTTTTAAATGCAGGTCTGGTCCCAGTTATGGATAGTGGTGAAATAAACAGCTAACTTTTAAGTACTTTTCCTCAATACCAAGTGATTTGTAAATAAACTCATTTAATTCTCAAAACAAACCTCAAAACTCTGGGTAGGTTGGCCTACCTGCCCATTTTGCAGAGGGAGAAACTGAAGCCCAGGGAGTAGATTTCAGTGGGTCTTTTGGTTTCTCCTGAACAGGAAAGCCTGGGCGGGAGGGTCCGCATCATGGTCACTGGCGCTGCTCCTATCTCTTCTCCTGTCCTGATGTTCCTCCGGGCAGCAATGGGATGTCCGGTAAGTCAAGTACCTTCTCAAAGATGCTTATTTCAATGTTACACAAGTTTACTGTTTAAATAAAAACAAAACCACACGGGGATGTGTCAAAGAGGAAGTCATCAAGCATCTCAAAAATTAAGACAAAATTATCCCACCTACCTCTTTTGTGCATCTATGTACAGAAACCTTTACAGAAAAGAAATGTGTGTTCCCTAATCCGTGTCAGGGAACACCCCATCAACACTGACTTGTCATATCAAGAACACCCCTATTTTTTCTTTTTAAACAGACTGATTTTTTTTTTAAGATTTTTTATTCATACAGAACTGGGGTACAGACTAGAGATTTGGAGGGTGATAGGATTCACCAGAGACAGAGAGGGGAGCAGAACAGGCAGATTGACGAAATACACTGCTGAGGGGAGCAGCGGGCGGGTCAGGAGAGGTCTGCCGTGCCCTGTGGTCACCTCGGGGGCAGACGGGGAACGAACCATGCCGAAGTGGCTTCAGCTTCTTAGTGCAGTGCTTTAACCTGCTGCGCCACCAGGGAGGGCCCAAGAACACCCCTATTTTTAATCAATGAAGTGATTAGGATATCTGTGTTCCTTTGCTATTTATAGTGATCAAATTAGTGTAAGGAATTCCTGGAAGAAGGATAATGGACCCAATTGGATCAATGATTGTTTTTACATACTCATGCAAATCATCACACTTTCCTTTAGGAAGATCTTGTCTTTTATGCATTCCTGCAAAGGGTGCATTGCCCCACAGCTCGCCTTGGCGAGGCAGACAGTTACCTACACTTCATCAATCAGTTCATGAGAAACCTTGCAGCTTTGTTTCTTAGTGCTGGTTCTCTTGTATACCTAGGGCAGTTCCTTTTTTTATTTTGCATGAACTATTACTTTCTTAGAGAAAAGAGACAACAAATAATTTGGTTCTCCTTCACATTGCTTTCCGAGGGTTTTGTGTGGTAGTAATATTGAAAAATTACTTTTTGCCTTATGTAAGCTTTTTTGAAAGTTTCAGATATTCTGTAATCAATTGGATTAGTTTTTTCTATCTGTGGTTTTTAAATTAGTTAAACAAGATTTCCTAACCCTAATATTTCATAAGACATTTTATCCATATTTTCTAACAATTGTCTGTTTCCCAATTAAGCTTAGAATTTTGTACAAGTGCTTTGGCATGGATATTGTCATATTTTTGCCCAAATGTCTGACTAGTTCATTCATTTAACCAACATGCACAACAGAAATGAAACAGACAGCAGGCCCTCAGTATCTCTATTTGTGTAATAACCATCAAAAAAATAAAAGATTATAAATTGATGCCAAAGTTGGCAGGCTTTACAGTACTCATTAAACTAAAATCCTCTTGGCCATTCTTTTTAAAATCTAAGTAACAATGGTTCATAATATTAATAGTTTTCAGGTGTGTATCATTAAAATCAATATGTGTCTGTGCTACATGAAGCTCCCCACTAAAAGTCCAGTTCTATCCATGACCATACAATTGACCTCTTTTACCTGATTCACTCACCTTCTCTCCCCCTTCCCTTCTAGAAACCGCTAATTTGGTCTTGCCATTGAAGTTTGTTTTTCTTTTCTTTAGTTCGTCTGTTTCTTTGTCTCCACTTGACTGGAATCACACAGTGTGTGTCTTTATCCACCTGAGTTATTTCATTCAGCACCATGCAATCTTGGTCCATCCGTGTTGCAAATGGCTCAAGATCACTGAGTAGTATCCTACTGTGCATCTATACCACATCTTTATCCACTCATCTGTCTGGATATGTAGGCTGTTTCTAACTTGACTAAATTGTGCTGTGATAAACATGAGCGTGAATTTATCTTTTCAAATCAGTGATTCTGAATTTTTCAACAAAGTACTCAGAAGTAGGATAACTTTGGCCATTAATACTTCTCTTACTCTCAATGCCTCAAACCAATAGATCAGCAGGTCCTGAAACCTCACCCCTCCCAGAAATGCCATCCTCTGGTGTCTTCCAGTTTGCCTCTCTCTGTGCCCCCACCTCCAACTGCAGTAGCTCTTGTTCTCTCCTCCAGTCAACAGCTCCTTCTACACTAGGGGTGAGTAACTACACCCTTCAATGGCTCTTGCCCCCCTCCCATGGGCAAACCCACCCATTTATGTATCATCTGATTTTGTATTAGCTGATTTTGTGCTGCTTTGGTAGAGCTAATTAGTAGAAAGAGACCAGATGGCCCTCCATGGTGGTACAGCAAGTTGGAGTGCTACACTGTGAAGCTAAGCCAAGCCATGGCTGCTTCAGTGTGAGTTCAATCCCTGCTCCGGAGGTGACCCACATGGCGCAGCAGACCTCTCCTGTCTCACCTGCTGCTCCCCTCAGCAGTGTACTTCATTAATCTACCCACTTTGCTTCCCATTCTGTCTCTGGAGAATCCTCTTGCTGTCCCTGCACCTCTGGCCTATACTCCAATTCTGTATGTATAAATAAATTTTTAAAAATCTTTTTAAAAATGAAAGAGACAAGATGGTCCAAAATCTGATCCTTACACAGAAAATGTTTGTCTCCACCTGTTCTATACCACTTAAAGCTAGTCCTCTTTAAAAACGTGACTCACTTTCTTCTGTTCCTACAGCAATGTTCCATTTCCCAGGTTCAAGTTCAGTCACCACTAGACTCTACATCTTTAATGAAAAGCTCACATTTTCCCGTTGGTTTAAAATGCCACATTTCCCAAAGGGTAGTACAAGCTTCTGTACTTTCGTTTCTTGGTAGGCCTTTTAGTTTTGGGGCTGAACCCCACCTGTCAAGACTTAGCAGCTGTGGGCATCAATTCAAGGTATTCATAAAGATACCAGGTATCCTCCAACCTCGGAAACTTTGCTGGCCTCAGTCTGGCCACAGGGTAGGGCCCCTTGTGCTTTAGCATGAGTGAGTCTCAAAGCCCTTCACTTCCCACAGGTGTATGAAGCTTATGGTCAAACCGAGTGCACCGCAGGCTGTACATTTACATTACCTGGGGACTGGGAGTCAGGTAGGTCCCCATCGACAGGGTGGGGTGCAGTGGCTGTGATGAGTTCCCTAACTGAATCAGGGCATATGACATAGTGAGGAAACCTCACTAATTTGCATGAATGTAGCAAATACCAAACTCAAGTTTCAGTGCATGCCTTCCGGCGTGGCTACCCATCATGGGTGCCAGATGACCCTCCAATCTTACTCCGTTAGTGTCAGTCCAGCAGTCCCCCAAATATGCTGCATTGTCACTGCTTTCTGGCTTCCACTGACTCAGTGTGATGTTCTAGGCCACGTTGGAGCACCCCTGGCTTGCAACCATGTGAAACTGGAAGACGTGCCTGACATGAACTATTATTCAGTGAACAACGAAGGCGAGGTGGGTAGGTGGAGAGCTGAGGTCACATCTCAACAGCACGGTTGGCAGGTTTATGACAGGAAGAGCACACAATTACGAGCAGCCTTGGGGCTGACTTATTTGAGATTGTTAGCGAGGAAGTGGATGTGTCAGTAATTTCCTTTCCTCTCCTCTAGCATGGGGGTTTCAATATGGTGTATCTACACACTGTAGTGGGAGCCCAGTGATTCAAGATGGGGGTGTACTTTATGATATGCTCTGGCCAGGTGAGGCAGCCTGTGCTATTTCACCCCCTTGGATCCTCTCGTGTGTGCAGGTTTGCGTCAAGGGCACCAATGTGTTCAAAGGATACCTGAAGGACCCGGAAAGGACCAGCGAGGCCCTGGACCAGGACGGCTGGCTTCACACCGGAGACATTGGTCGCTGGCTCCCGGTGGGTGCTTCTGCAGAACTTCTGGGAGTCTGAGTGCTAGACTTGGCATAACCATCTGCTGCTGGCAGTTGAGGGGGGAGGTCTTTGTCCTCTGATTGTAAAGAGAAGGCATTGGGATACTAAGCAGAGGTTAGGGAGACTGTCCAGAAGTTTCACCTGTCCATTGACAGAACCTAGGCTGGGAATTGGGAGAGATGTTTTCTCATCCCAGTTCTTCCATGGCCAAAGAAACTCTTGATGGTGACAATCACATGTGATCTCAGTGTGGTCTCAAGGTGTCCGCAAGACACAGGCTGGTGGGAGGCTTTGCTTCTTGCTTTGTGCCTTATCAAATACCACAGCAGCAGCAGTGAGGGTTACCAGCACCATTTCCAGACCCAAACTGAAAGGGGATTTTAATAGTCCAGACAGCCCTGGACCATAGCCTTGCCATGGCTGTCCTGCCATTTCTGTAGATTCTCTCATAAACAAAGCGATGTTTGGGGACATTGCTTATAATTTGATTTTTTATGAACTTCAGAGGGATAGGTTTCTTTCCACTGACTGGAAACACACCAAGAAAACGAAGAAACATGCTCTGTATGGTGTGTGCATGCAGAGACTAGCGACCATCACTACCCTTATCTGAGGGAGACACACTCTTTGTTAAAGCATAGCTTGCAGATAAAGCATTATCCGTGGTCCCTGTGGCAGTTACCTGTTTTCCAGAAAGGAGAGAAAACGATTGTATGGCAGTGAGGATGGAGCCTTAGAGCCCTCGCAGGCAGTTTTTCAAGAAGTCTCCTTTCAGAAAAGCTTTCTCAGTTTCCTGTGTGCTGGGGGGGTGGGGGTAGGGGGTGGGGGTGGGGGATAGGGATGTAACTGCATTTGAAAGCTCCTTTCATGCTCAGTATTGTCAAGATTTAAGCGACTTTCAAAGAATGTTTGGTAGTAGCCGAGGACACTCGGCCTAACGATGGAATGTGTGACCTCGGTAGGACTAATTTGCTAACGTAACTGCTTCTATATTAAGAGTTGCCTGCTCTGATAAGCTTCAGATGTAGGCACTAGATGGGCTCTTGGTTCTACAGCTGAGCCTTATTCATGACTTTCAGATGTCTGTTGGGCTGAATTGGTGGTTCCTTTTCAGAGTCAGCCTCATTGATGGCGCCAGGGTTAGTCCAGGCTGTTGACCTACTTTGGGTGTGGTCATGTGGATTGTAGTGGCCACTTGTCCCTATTCTACAACTGAAATCCTGAAGAACTTAAGCTGCTCAGAACAATGAATGCAAAGAGATCCAGTGGCAAGTGGCCTCTGGTGGCTGTGCAGGGCCCCCAAGTCCTGCTTCTGTCCTCACAAGCACAGTGGATGACCTGCTTGATTAGCAGTAGTGGGTGCAGATGGTTCAGCCTCCCCCACATCTAGCAGGAAGACACCCTAAATGGCAGTCAGAGAGGGCGAGGCCTAACATGCAAAATAAGTCTCATGCAAACAACTCCTTCCTGATTCCTGAGGGTTCTGGAAATGTTATAATTGGGATTTAAGTTACTGGACATTGAGAGCTGTGCACTTTCTTTGTTGGAGGAGGCCACCATTTGTACAACCCCAGGAGAGCCCCACAGTTTCTGCTGAGGCTACACTTTGAGTCTCCACGAAGTCATGGATGGGAGCTGCTTCCTGCCCTTCCCCCCCAGCCAGCTAGGAAAAGGAAAGCTCACTCAAAGCTCTCTAGAGAAGTCAAGTTTAAGCCAGGAAGACACCTGTGATTTCACAGCTCTTCCCCGCTGACACCCTCACTTGGGCTTAAATATACTTATGGTATCATCTGCTTTATACAGAACGGAACTCTAAAGATCATCGACCGTAAAAAGAACATTTTCAAGCTGGCACAAGGAGAATACATTGCTCCAGAGAAGATAGAAAATATTTACATCAGGAGTCGACCAGCAGCACAGGTTTTTGTACACGGAGACAGCTTACGGGTAATAACAACAGTTGTTTTTAACAATAGCGATTTTCACACACCATAATGGTTTTCTGAAGGCAATCTGATTAGGTGGCTTAGGGTAGAAAAATCTGAGTTTATAAACTGAAGAAATGAAGCTGCAGCCCAAACCTCAAGGAGATCCATAGAATTGAAAAAATATTTTTTGAAACTGTGATGAACCCTAAGTACTATTTCCATGGCAACAGGAGTTCCTCAGGCACCACAAACTGGTTATTCTGTAGAGATGGCACTTACAGTTAGCTTTTGGGAACTGAGGAGGCTGGCAATGCCTTAAGCTTGAAGTTGAATCCCCTGAACAATCACATTTGAATAGAACGTTTGTGTGAAGAGAAACTGAGTAGACAGGGGCTTAGCCTTCCTTGAGGGTTACTGAGTAGAGACAGGCTTAGCCTTCCTTGAGGGTTACTGAGTAGAGACAGGCTTAGCCTTCCTTGAGTGCCTGGGAAGGCATGAGCAGAACTGAGAGTCAAGGTCTTGGGACATGTTTTAGGAGGGCACCCTGTACCTGTCTTCTCCAGTCCTGCCACTTTTGTTTCCTTCCCATAGTCATCTTTGGTTGGAGTGGTGGTTCCTGACCCAGATGTGCTTCCGTCATTTGCAACCAAACTTGGGGTTAAGGGCAGCCTGGAAGAACTGTGCCAGAACCAGGTAAGTCTCATGTAGGGGAACTGGTAGCTGTGGTGCATTGTGGGGAAGGGGTGGCCGGGAGTTTGGCCCTCCCAGGAAAAGAGACACTTCTCATCTGTGAAATGTGACTCAGATCAATTGAATATTTTTATTAGCTAGGGGGATACGGATGGAGTTAACAAAACACACACACACACACAACTGTTCTCTTTATAGTCACATGTTCATGGGGGGGATTGAAAAATAGTAAATTAATGTCATTCAAAGAAAACCCCTATTAGTATTTCCATTTATTTGCCTTTCCTTCTCACATCACTGTTTTCCTTTTGAGTGACACTGGGTGTAAAATGTGCCTGCACATAACTCTATGCCCGGTTTTTATCCCAATGAGCTATCGCAGGCACTTCAGTTGGTTCATCCTTAGGCTCTTTTTCATATAGCAATGCTTGACTCTGTGTCTTTTATTCTTAGACTGTAAAGGAAGCCATTCTAGAAGACCTGAAGAAAATTGGGAAGGAAAGTGGCCTGAAGTCCTTTGAACAGGTATATTCTACCAATCCTAGCCTGGCCCTTCAAGTCTAAAGGGAAATTGTATTTCATGTTCCATTTATAAAATGAGTTTATTTATTATTGTTTCTTCTCCAATTGTATTGATTTGCCAATCAGTTACATAATTGTATAATTTGGGGAGTACAACTTCACCCCTCCAGATGTGTGATTGCTTCATTCAGCCACCACCAAGCTCAGACACAACAAACTACTATAGGGACAGTACTTTTTGGGCATTGGGGAGGCCAGTGATGCGTTAAGCTTCATGTTGAACCGTCACCCCTCCCTTCATTCCTCCCGCCTCTCTGGTAATCACCACTTTCTCTAAGAGTTACACAATGGGCTTCAAATGCAGTTTCCACGGAACTGATGTTAGAATTCCTACCATTAACACAGGTGGCAGTGACATTTTAATTACAAGTTTGTTCCTTTTGGCAGTTCATTATCCATTATTCATTCTCCCTTTTCATCTCTCCCCCAAAGTATGAAAATAAGAGAATGGTAAGATCCTGTTTTTTGTCCCCCTCCCTCAGCAACCCCATTTTCAGAGGGTAAAAGTCTCTGCATTTGTTCACATACAGAAAAGTCCACATCACAAGTAACCAGGTGTGTGTGTGCTTTTATCATTTCTCCAGGTTAAAAACATCCATCTTCACCCAGAGCAATTTTCCATTGAAAATGGGCTGTTGACACCAACGATGAAGGCAAGGCGGGTAGAGCTTGCCAGATACTTCCGTGCTGAGATCGACAGCCTCTACGCGACCATCCAGGAGTAGGCTGAGGTATGAGTGGCTGGAGGGGTTAGGGCAGCTGGCCCATGGACAAAAAAGTTCATTTTACCTATTTATATTTTTGTTTTTCCTCTTTTTGTTTTACTTACTAAGTCATACACCATTGTTTGGGGCTTTTAAAAAATATTAACAGAGATGTGGAAATTCATCTCTGGATTAAGTAAATTATGTTTTTTTCCATCTTAAATGTTGCTTACCTAGGTTTTAGGGCTACTTTTTATCAACATACCTTTCTTCCTGGTCTATTTCTTTGTCACTTTCGTGACTACTGGTTCAAGGGCCGGCATGGCCAGCTGTGGCTTTTTCCTTGCTCTATAGTAAACCTTACCTGTTCACAGTCCTAACACGTCAGCCTCCTAATGTTCAAATTAAGAGGGCTTAGTTTGGGAAAATCTGTTATTTCATATTTTCTATTTATTTTGAAGATCACAAAAATGATTATACTTGTAAATAAAATTTAACTTATCACTAATATTTACCTATGTACTTTTTCCCTATTAAAGACTGAGTCCAAAAGGGGCAACTTGATTTTTCTGAATATGCCCCAAACTCCCTAGTTTCTGATTTAAGAGAATTAAAAATTAGGCTATGTTGTCCAAAAAGAATATCATCAAACTGCATCTGGTGACCAAATCTATTCTCTAGTTTGCTGCTGAGCTGGAAGGAGTTCAGATTGCTAGCAAGTGCACCTTTTGGGTAAATGAAGCAAGCCGATGGAAACTTCCTGAGCCATGAACAAAGACCTGAGCCAGCAGGACACTCACAACAGGCTTATCATCTCAGAAGGAACCGATGGCACTTATCTCTCCTGGACTCCGATTTTTGCTGTACACTAGCCCAAGACAACATGTCGTTTCCACTTGTAAAGTCCTTTTAAATAAACTATTGAAAACATCTGAATGCAGTGTTTCCTCACCATATGAGAATCAGTGTTAACAAGGACGGCTCTGCAATTTACAAGCCAGCAGCTCTCGCATTTGGCTACACGGTAGAATTAACTGGGAGCTTAAAAAGGCACTAACTAAAAAGCCTAGGTGCCATCCCACGGATTGGTTAACATGGTCTGTACCACCATGTTAAAAAGCATTGGGCTTTTTAGACAATTCACAGGTGTTTTAATATGAAGCCAAGTTTGGGAGCTGTTGAAGGAAACGAAGTCAAGAACCGGCCATCTTACCCCACAGCTGTGAATAATCCAAGTACCGCCAAGCCCACACTCCCAACTGAGCATATATTGTTCTTTGTCCTTTACTCTCTGCTGTTCTCTAAGTAGTCTTAACAGACTAGTTTTTGGGCTTCTACCTAGAGTTGAGAATGTTCCTGGATAGTCTTTCTAGACCTTGCACCCAAAACAGCCAGAGAAAGTATTCTTGAACATCAACAAAAGGGAAGGCAGGGGCCCTCCCTGGTGGCACAATGGGTTAGGACGCAGCACTGCAAACTAGCGGCAGCTGCTTCCAGGCAACTTGGATCCCCCCCAGAGGTGACCCACATGGCGTGACAGACTTCTCCTGACCCCCACCCCCACCTGCTGCTCCCCACAGCAGTGTACTTCGCTGATCTGCCTGTTCTGCTCCCCACTGTCTCTGGTGGATCCTCTCACTGCCCCTGCCCCTCTGGCCTGTACCCCAGTTCCATATGCATAAATAATCTTGAAACAGGGAGGGGGAGGCAGATCTCTGGTAGATCTCTCCTGGAGCTAGGTCCTCCCATTTCCTTGACCTTCTGTGCTATCCCTTACTCATTCCACCCAAATCTCTCACAGATGGTTTCCTATCCTCCAGTCTGCCAGGTACAAACCAGCCTGTTGGTCTTGCTGTTGCCTCTGCTACAAATGCTGATCTCCCAGGGGGACATGACTTGCCCCCTCATTGTTTCAAATGTCACCTTCACCTCACCATCCCACTCGCCTTTTTGACACACATGACCCTATATGACATATGCCTCTTAGCTGCCACTTCCCACCCTCATTGACATGGGGCAGGGGCATGTTTTAGTCACTGCTGAAACCCGGCGCCTTCTCCTTAGCAGCTGATGCAAGCCTGTAGGGTGAGGGTATTAACCAGGCTTTTGCACTACAAGCCTATCACCTGCGGCCTTGATTGTGCTAATGCAGGAGGCATTTGCGTGCACCAGCACGGGGCACACGTGCCTGGCGTGGACACCTGGAGATGGGTGTGGGTATGCTCAAGTGTGCACACCTGAGCCCAGAGGCCGGGCACAGAAGGGCAGCAGCACGGAGGCTACGGGAGATGGCTGCAAGAGGACGAGCTACGTGCCAGAGCGGTAAGACCGTGAGAGAATGCCAGAGCCCAGAGAAAGACTGAAGGTTTGAGGGGGTGGGGGCGGGGGCCGGGATACTAGGGGCTCAGCTGCCTCCAGACAATTTATACGGGAATAGGACACTAATTCTACCACGTTTTTAGACAAGTCCAACGTCATGCCTCCAAAGCCACCCACTCATCCCAGCTTCAGCTTTGAGTAAAGTGTGTGAGCAGTTTGCTGTCACTGGGCTGAATGCTGGGATCTCACTGGTTATCAATGGGGTTTATAGAGCGATGTCAGTTGTGTGCCTGAACTCAGGCTCCTGATAGCAGTTTTAACAAGGGAGCAGTTTCACAAGGGGACTAAGAGCGCTTTTTATTCAGCTACAAGAAAAATGCTTTCAGTAAAAACGGATTTATACATAACATCCATTGATCTTTATTTGATTTGACAAAATCTGCATTATTAAAAGACGGGTAACAAAATGTGAGCTCATATTGAATCGGACAAATTAAGTTCTATCGTGTCTAGTGTATTACATAAGAAATATCAAGTGGGGGAAAACAAGATAAAAGTATCACATGCAGATGTTCCTGGCACAGGGGGACTATTTCTGTAGGTGAGGTCCAGAGTGTGTTGTGCATAAAAAAAGTCCAAGAGAAAATGCAACTGACTGACTGGGGTGAAGTGTTTTTCCTTTGGGGGAGAGAGGTGGCAAAGGCATGTGCAGAATGGCTTCTCCATTTCAAAGTGGTAATAAAAATATTAGGTCATGGCACGAGGGCACCTTTGAGGGAAAGTACACCTTAACCAGATAGGGTCATTGCATAAATCTGTAGTATTAGGTATTTTTCAAGTAACAGAGCGGCCTAAGGTATAACTACTTTTTAACAGTGGCTATCTATTTTTCTTCTCGCCCTCTGGGGCTTGATCTGTTTCGGCATCACAGGGACACTTTTCCACACAGTTTCTAGGAAACCATCCTCTTATTCTTGAAACTCCTGAGGAGAAAATGAGATTGATGTGAGATAGAGATGATAATGGCATTGCTGAGACCTTATACAAATTAGTAAGTTTTTATTAGATGACTTTTTCCTTTGTGTCATCTTTTAATAAGTCCAATTTGAGAGGGAAAGTTATGGTTTTTCTATTTCCCAAACCCCACTGTCCGGCGAAGGTGCCCAAGCGGCAGCCCTTTAGGCAGCCCCTGGACTTCTCAGGGGGGTGCAGTGATCAGAAAAGTGTGTCGGGCACCCTTAGCACTTCCTCTGTGCCCGGCGAACACCTCCCTGTAGCCTTCCTGAATTTCCGCTTTCAACTCTAAAGGACACCCTGGGTTTGTCTTTACTTTAAAAAGGAGCAATTCTAAAACCTGAAAATCAGAGACAGAAAAAGTTGCAATCCATTCGTTTTAGACCGACGAAAACTGCTCCCCAGAGCGGAGCAGGTGGTGCAGGCCCAGTGAGCAGGCGCCGGGCCAGGGCTGTGCTCCGTGTGCTGCTGGCCAAAGTACTCAGCCTGTCAGCTTTGGTGCCCAAGCAAACCGAAGGTAAATGAGCCTGCACCCAGCGGGCTGCTGGGACTTTATTACCACAGTGTGGCATTTATAGACGTGCTTGCAATGTAATTATGGATGAATTCAAATGTTAGGATCATTACAAAGACCTGATAAATGCAAACGCTGGGAAAGATAATCTAGAGTAGCTTGACAACATACATTTCTATTTAGTTCTCCTAATGCATATAACATGGTTACTTATAAAACTGAGTTTTGCAAAACTGGGGATTATTGCTTTAAGCAGCCCTTTCTACATTCTTACCGTCTATAACGGAATCATCAAGAATTTTATCTCCATACAACCAGTATCTGAAATATTGAAAAGAACAACATTAGCTTTCATAAGCCAGATGGTAACTTTGTCAGTAAAGAAGAAATCTGGTGCTTTGTCACTTACCGTAACCCTCTTGTGGCCAAAATGAACTCGCCTTTCTGTAGCCGGATTCGGGGCTCTTCAGTGCAGGGGCTTGTGAAGAAGGTTTTAACTCCTTTATTCAAAGGGCAGCAGGCACCACTATAATCTTCTATTACTTTATAGCGAACCTATCATTAGTGATCAAAAGAAGAATTAAACATTTACCCAAATCCGAGCTTTTTTAAGTTTGAATTTAAACTGTTACAGGTAACTCCAAAGTAACCAGCTGACTAGTCTTTTCCCTGCTCAGTTCCCCACACATCCTGGTCCCTTACAGGAGGCAATGGATGATTCTAGTTCTCCAGGTTTTTCTTACCGTTCATCTCAAGCGCATAGCTGAGAATTAAATTTTAGAGCAGGGCTGTCCGACAGACTTCCTACAATGATGGAAATATATTTATGGTATACAATGTGGTAGGCCCTCTACAGACATAGCTACAACACCCTGAACTTGGTTAGTTCAACCAACACACTGAATATTTTTGATAGAAGTTTAAATAGCTACATGTGGCTAGTGGTTACTGTAGTGCACAGACAGCATCACTGTGAGGATGGGTCTCAGATGAACAAGCTATTTGCTGAGAATAACTTTTTCTATGTTGGCATAAACAGTGACTAAATGCCTTCCAAGCCTCCAGGCTAAACTGTAATATTCAATTTTAAAAACTACAGAAGTGTCGAGCCTGAGAAAGGAAAAAAGAAATTAGTATCACTGTAGAAAAATTACTTACACTTCTGACTCTCTTATCCGCTTTTTGTTTCAATTGTTCTATCTGTTTGGAAGATAAAAAAAAATAAAGCCTCTTATTTCAGTGTTGAAAAATAGTCTCTCTTTGTCTAACCAGTGACAGGATGAACTCAATTTTCTAGCATTTCAAACTACTGACACCTGGTTTTAAGCATGGAAAGAAGAGCCCGGGGCTGACAAGGGGATTCCTCCAGAATTCTCCCTCCTGTCTTCATTTGTATCTACGCACAGGGTAGAACCCAGGATCAGGAAGAGGTGCTCTCTGCCCCCGTGGAATTTCCAGAATGGCACATAAGCTGCAAATGACATGAGACTCACCAGTGCTTTAGTAACACAGAGGACAGGCCACAAAGGTCACCAGCAAGGACTCTGGACTAAAAGTCACCTTCCAACTTTTCTTCACATAGCCATGAGTTAGCGAATGGTGCAAGTAGACACAATGGGCAAAATAAAGGCAACACATAGTCTCTATCCTAGCACCTTTTCGAGTGAGAGATAAGATGTGAGAGTGAAACACACGGGGTCTCATGCGCTAGCAGCCAGTTGCTGTGACTTGGTGCCAAATCCAGATGAGTCTGGAACACTTAGGATAGACTTTGCAGAGACAGAATGGAGCTGGGCTTAGTTTCTGACAGAGAACAAATCAGATGAGAGAAAAAACTGTGTGGGCCAAGTTAGGTGGCACGGATGCCCAAGGAGTGCCCAGAGTGAGCGCTCCCAGCGGCGAGGCTGAGGTTAGGAAGAGGTTAGCTGGAAGACGATTTCAGAGCGGAGTTTAAAAAAGTGAGTTAAGGGCCCTCCCTGGTGGCGCAGCGGGTTAAAGCATAGAACAAAGAAGTTTAAGCCACTTCTGCATGGGTTCGATTTCCGCCTGCCCCAGAGGAGATCCACATGGCGTGGCAGACCTCTCCTGACCCGCCCGCT